TTTTTACCAAATTTACCTTGAACTTCTACAACTTTAGACTCATAATATTCATAGTCGTCTGTCTTCTTTGGTTCATAAGGTATAACAAGTTTGTATGCTTTGCCTTCTTTAAGGTTTGAGAACCTTCTGTCAAACTTTCTTTGACTGTTAACAAACCTTCTATGTCTAAGTCTTCAAATTTCGCACCATTTTTAGTCACAATAGCAAACTTAACTGGTTCGATGTTCCAAACTTTGCTGAATGAAGACTTTTCAAAATGGTAGAAGTAAACATTCAAATATGTGAATGGATCTAGTTCTTCTTTAAGTCCTGACATGTACTTATTTACTGAGATGAATTTCGTCATCTTTTCTATCGGATAAAAAAATATTTTTTTTAAAATTTACTCAGAAAAATTTTTCTTTGTATATACACCATTCTGTACGTCTAAAAGACTTTTGACATTTGCCAAGAATGTACGTTTAGAAGCTGCCATATAACCATATTCTTGACAATATTGTTTATATTCATCATATAAAGACTTTTCATCTAAACACTCAAAGTCGCTTTCTTCTATGAACAGTTCATATACACTCTTGTTTGCTTCTAACAATGTTTGTCTCTCTTCGGTATGTGGAATTTGTCTTGGATTGAACTTAGAAATATCTAATGTCATGAAATATGAGAACAAGTGGTTGTAAAAGTCAGATGTCAAAGTTTCTGCTAAGTCGTCAAAATATTCTGTATCTTGCATATGAGAATCTGACGTTCTGACAACTACATATCTTCTGTCAGAACTTTCTAACTTCATCGGAACAGCATTGTTTGAAACCATAATGAAGTTTGCAACATTTTCACAAACTCTTTGGTCTTTATACTTTCTTTCAACAACTCCAACTTTGTCTGTTATAAGACTCTTCAAAGCATCTGAGTTCAAAACTTTTGTTGTATCTATACTTTGAAGTTCATTGCAAACTATAAGTTTCATATTCTCTATTGAGGAGTTAAACTTGCCACAGATGTTTTCTAAGTTTGTCATATTCGGATTCGAATAACCTTCTAACAGTTTGCACAAAATATCTGTAAAGAAAGTGTTCTTACCTGTTCCTTGTTTTCCAATTATAATGAGAGCAGTTTCATTTTTAGCACCTGGATGTTGTAAGATGTTTGCAAACCAACATAAGATATACTCATAAACCTTTTCGTTTCCATTGCATATAATTTCTTTGACATGGTCTAACCAAGCTTCTATAACATTTTCTTTCCATTCTACTTGTTCGTATTTATATCCAGTGAAGATAGAATAGAAGTTTGGAGAAGGTGTATAGAACTTTATACCTCGAACTGAAAAATCTTCTAACTTTGACAATAAGATATCCCAAGCATCTAATATCTTCATTCCAACTTGTACGACTTTTATTTTCTTAAGTTTCTGTCTACATTCTTGTTCAGACACTATTGTTGCTCTTGGTTTGTTAAAGACAACATCCCATTCTTTCATGACATAACATTCTGGGGCAGAGTCAACATAAATGACTAAACGTTTCAAATTCTCGACTGCTTTGTTATAGTCTCTAAATGGACACATATTTCTGAATGCTTGGAAGTCATAAAAATCTGAAACATCTATTCTGTACATTTTTATAAAAATAAAAAAATAATATTTTTTTATTCTTGACTTTGTTGTTCCATTTGTTGCATTTGTTGTTCTTGAGCTATTTGTTGTTGAAGTTGTTCTTGTAATACAATACTTTCACCAGTTGCATCTTCCAATTCGAAACTTTCTGCCGTCATTGACAAATACATAGGACATAAAAGTTTTACAGGAACAAAGTTTGCGTCAACTAATGTCAACGTTATACTTGCCAAAGTGTTTGAGTTCACTAAGGTTGAAAATTCTGCATTCGAATGAACAATAGGCAAACCAGCAGAGAAAGTATTGTTTATACGCATAAGTATCTTTTGGTCATAATAGTTTCTGTCGACATTCGAATAACACTTTGAACCTAAGTTTGAAACAATATATAAGATTGGTGTGCTTAATGTCAATGGAATAGACATTCCTTGTATGACACATTTTCCTGTTATAGGAAACTGTTGGTAGTAAAAACCAGAAATAAGTTTTGTATTATAGCTCATATCGTTTATAGTAAAACTCAGTCGGACATCCAAACATAATGAAACCTGCTCTAGTTGCAGCACATGTTACACCCGTACTTAAAGTATTAAATAAGTCAACAAAACCTGTTGGTGGTATATCTGAGTAAGTATCTTCAAAGGAGTATTTTTTACCATTCACAACAATAAAGTCTTCTGGTGTCAAAAGAGCAAAACAGGCTTTAGTCGTCATTGTGTTTAAGGTTAGTTTACAATATCGTCCTTGAGGACTTTGTAAGTTTGTTGTTATAGAATTATATGACTCAGGGTTTTTAGTCGTAATAGTATAAACCATTATGTCTTCTGCCATTTACTTAGCAAATAAATTTTAATGAAATGTTGTGGTCGTCAAATATTTTTATAACGTCTGGGAAACTATATTTTAAGTTCAACGTTTCACCTCCTTTCATAACGTATATCTTGTCAATGACATTATATGAAACACCACAGCAACAAATGTCGGGTTCTATTTCTTTGATGTTTATATCGTCTGCCTCTGTCAAAAGTTTCAATAGTTCTTTCAAAACTTCATGAGGTGCAATGACATATGAGTTCACTTTTACAGGGTTGTGTTCTCCCAAGTTTAACATTATACTTAAAGCTTGACAAATCTTCTCCTGAGTTTGAAGTTTGTCTTTCAGTTGTTGGTAGTCGTTTCGAATATCTGAACAGAACTTAAGTCTCTGTTAACTTCAGGATATGTTGGTTCTTTTACAAGAACAATGTTGTATACCATCTTCGTCTTCGTATGGTTTCCCCACTTCAACATCTCTGTCTTTGACATTGACAACAACACTTTGACTGTTTGTTTGAGTTGGTGAATTTAACTTCACATCTGCCACCGCCATTAAACCTTTTGAAACACTTACGCTTCTATTTTTCGGAAATGACATTTTACTTAGAATAAAAAGATGGACGTATTCGGATATCTTATTGAATTGAAGCAGAACAAAGTTTATACTCACAAACAATACAAATACATTGACGAATAGTTCTTTACACAAACAATGGAAAATGTTATAGAATAGCAGTCTTGCTGAACCTAATATTTTCATAAAGCAAAGAAAGTTGGTATAGCTGAAATGGTGAAAGTTCTTAAGCAGACAAAAATATAACTTCAAAACTTACAGATATTACTAAAGGAAAGTTTATAATACAATATTATGTCAAAACTGGCGTACTGTCAATATTTGACGGAGAGAAGTCAGTTCAAGAAACAACTTACTGACCTGCTGCCAAAATCTGCTCGATGGAAGCTGTCGTTATGCCAATCTGAGGAGCCCCAGCAGGTTTCATCGAACGAATCTTCAAAAGAGCATCTTCCGTGAAAAGTGCTATTGGTTTTGTAAACTTCTTTGCTCTCAATTCATCTGGACCGTCTCTGTCACCAGTATATTGTATTTTGAACTGTACCAACAGTTGAAATACCACCCATAAAGTCTTCTGAGTCAGCAAATGGAATGCCAAGCCAAAAGTTTGAACGGTCTCCATTTGTATATTGAGTTTTTTGACCTCCTGTATGAGTCCATACTTTCACATATGGCATAATAGAATTTTGCATTTCAGGGTTAATGGTTGTTGTGAATTGTTGTTAAAGTTCATAGCATCTAATGTCAAGTTGTATGACCTCATATCCTCAACTGTAGAATATTCTTCTCTTGGATAATATTTGCCATCTATGTTTATATGATATTTAATACCAGGGTTGTAGAAACAAGAATAGTCATTTATAGTTCGTCTGAACAGTACAAACATAGTATCTGCATGTTTCATTGCAGTTGTTAAAGCAATATCTGTTCTTGCACCTGCGGCTCCTGGATTTTGGTTTCCAACTTCACCTGCAAAGTCTTTGACAGATATTTGGTGTATAGGGAACATAAGTGGAACTGCAATATATTTGGCAGCTAAAGCATTTGAAATATCTGGGTCCAACATATAGACTGCAAGTCTGCTTTCTATTCTCTTGCATTCAAACTGTTCGCATGTGAACTTAACTGGGTCCCAAGCAGTTCCAGCAGCATTGAAATAATAGTTTACTTCATTGTTGAGGTTTGAGAAACCAAAGTTTAAGTCAACTTTGTCTTTGCAAAATTCGGCGAATGACGTTTGATTTGTTCCCTTTACGTCTGTAAGAGTGAATGGGTCTTGTGTTGGTGCAATGACTAAGTTATTTTTGCTTGGAGTAAGTTCGATAGAAATTTTTCCTGCCCAGTTTGGCAAGTATCTTAAAAACCTGAAGATGAGGAAAGATGACAAAGGAACTCTAAGTTTCAGTTTTACTTTAGTGGCAGCAGTTCCATCTGAACCAGAAAGGTTAACATAAACTCCTGGAACGTTAGGGTCAAGTCTTCTTATTTTCTCAATAGTTGCATACTGGTCTGTTTGTTCTCTAGCTTGTGGTTGTACGGAGTTTCTCAAAGCGAACCATTCATAGTTTGCCCATGTTACTGTTTGAACTAAGTCAGAGTTAGAATATATCTTATATCCCATGAAAACTTCTGGAGCATATTGGTATCCGACATAGAAAATTCTATTGCAACCTTTCTTGTCAGACAACTTGGCAGAAGGTTTTATTTCAATGTCTTGTTCCACGTATAAGAATGAGTTGTCAATAGAAATAATATGAAACCTGTCGCAAGCAATATCTACTGTTGTTGAAGAACCTTCTCCAAACTCACCTACGTTTCCATAAGAAACAGCAGTTGTATATTCGTAAGTTCCAGGAACTATTTCTGACCTTCTAATGGCATTGTCGCATTCGTTATACCATTCGGAAACATTTCCGTTCATGGCATCCAAAACTGTTGGCGTTATATTCTGAGCGGCGTACATTTCATATGGGTAAAAATATAGAATAGTTGGATTTATGTGTCATAATAGAACCCACTCGTACCAAGCTTTACTTTCTTCCTGACTGAGTTTTGAACTCTTCTTTTTCCTTCATTGCCACTACTTTCACTAGATGAAGTTACTTCTTCACTACTTTCACTTTGTTCTACTCTTCTCTTCTTCTTTGGTGTCGCTTTTGGTAACTTGCCCTCTGCTTCAAGTTGTTGCATCTTTGCCTCATGTTCACCTAGTATGTTGTAAATTTCCCATGTCCTTTTTGCCTTTGGGCTCTGGTCGCCCATCTCAGGTAACCTATATCCTAGAAAGATTTTGTCATAGTTTGTATTTGAGTCTTCGCGTATTGTTTGCATGACTCTTTCCTGAGTTTCTGGTTCAAGCTCTTCAAACAGAGCTTGTCCATATGGAATAAGCTCGTTTCCAAATATATGTTTTTGTAGCCATTCTGGTTTTCTTTCCATGTAACCAATAATATCTTTTGTGAATGGGAAAGCTTTTACCCAACGTTTCAGTCTTGCGTCATTTATTTCTGTAGTTGGTTTTATTTTGTCATGGAACATGTTTTTCAATACTAACATTTCATTTGGTACTGTCCATTTGAGTTTTCTTAAATATTCATCCCTTCTCATTTCATTGTCTGCAAAGTAAGTTTTTATGACATTTTGCAAACTTTCGTTTGCAAGGTCATGTACAATAGGTTTGTTTCCATATTGGTTAGGTTCTGAATGAACTTTAAACAATGTTTCATTTCTATATGTTTTGTTGAAATTTAACCTTTTATTTTCACCGAGTTCAGCCAAAGATTGAACGTTATATGGTCGTAAGTAAAAAGGATTATTGTATTTGCGTACATTTTCTTTCAGTACTTCCATTCTATGCTGAATATTTTCATCTGATGTTGGAGTCTTTTGTATGTCGGTGAACATTTTTCGATATTCTTCTACTATGTCAGCCGAATTTTTCTTAGACTCTTGGAAAGATTCCATATTCTCCTCATACTCTTGTTGAGGGTCAAGATTTTTCGGCTGTTCCAAATCTTCATCTAGTTCTGTGAAGTTAGTTTCCAAAGGAGGGACTTGTTTGTTTCCTTCAGGCTCTTCTAGCTGTTGTTGCTGAACTATTTCTTCCATGTCTGGTTGTATCTGAACTTCTTCCTGTTGAGTTTCTTGTACCTCATCTGCTGGCATTTCATATATTCCGAGACCGTTTTTAACAAGTTCCCTATCTAAGTCATCCGGACTCATAAACCTTTCTTCTTTCGTTCCGTCTCGATTTTTTACGCGTTTCATGAAGAGAGTTGAATTATCATTTAGCTCTGACATCAAATATCTCGGAGTAAATTCATCCATGTCATTTGGATGATATGCTATTAAATCATATCCCTTAGCGAGCTTGTATTTTCCAGGTTTGAGATTATATCCGATTTGATGCTGAACCATAAAGCTAAATAGGTTCGGGTCAGTATTTCCTTCCTTGAACTTTCTAATAGCTTCTTTATATCTGTCACTAAAGTCAAGAGTATCTGGGTAACCATAATCTTCCTTAAGCATTTTTAAGAATTCTTGGTTTCCTTTTTCTCTACTTCTGTTATGTCCTTGCTCTGTTTGTGGTTGTTGTTGTGCAGGGTTTTGAACTGTTGGTTTTGGTTGTTATTGTTGTGCTGGATTTTGAACTGTTGGTTGTTGTGTTGGTTGTTGTTGTTGTGCTGGATTTTGAACTGTTGGTTGTTGTGCAGGGTTTTGAACTGTTGGTTTTGGTTGTTGTTGTGGTGCTGGATTTTGAACTGTTGGTTGTTGTGTTGGTTGTTGTTTTGGTGCATGCCTGTGTCTGTGTCCATGTGACGATGTAAATGTTTTAGGTAGTCCTGGTGCAGGTGCTTCTCTTGGAGGGTTTGGTGGTATATAAGTTCCACCAGCTGGCACATATGTTCCATCTGCAGCATAATGTCCTACCTGACTTTTCGTTTTTAAGAAAGCATTTACTAGGTCTGTTTTGGTCTGTTGTAACTCTTTTTCTTGACTTTCCACAACAGTTGCTCTAACGGCGTCATAGGCACTTTGAACTGCCTGTCTCGTTGCTGCATCTGTTATTTTCGTCATATTTTGTGCTACTTCTCTTAACTCTTTGTCGAAACCTTCAGACTTCAGTTTCTTTCCAAATGAGAAGTCGTTCACTAGTTTCACCTTACTATGAAGAGCTTCGAAGGCATTCTTAAAGTCAGCATTCATTAAAGCTTCATTTGAACTGTCTTCATCCGCTTGTATTTTTGTCCTTATTGACCCTATAAGTTGGGCTGCTTTAGCGTTGGCTTGGGCATCTAACCAGTCATTATTAGCTTTTATAATATCTGCACTTTTCATTGCCTTTTGCATGGCTGCGTCGTTATTTTTACTTTCTTGTGCTAAGTTTTCATACTGTACGGTTTGGTTTTGCAACTGTAAAAGTTTTTCTGCCTTTACATTTGCTTCAACTTCTTTTTTATACTCATCGCTATCCATATATGTCTTCATGGCTTTTTGTTTTATCTCTTCATCTTTCAGTACTTTATATTGAGTAGTATGGTTTTTCAAATTTATAACATCTTGTTCCATTTTTGCTACTTCTGCTGCTTTTTCTGACACTTTTTTCGCATATTCCTCTGTACTTAGTTCTTTCAGTTGTTCTTCTTTCTTCTTTTTCTCTACGTTTAACTCATTGAGTTTCTTTGTCTGTCTGTCATATTCTAGTTTCTTTTCGTTTTCACTTATTTGTTTCTGTATGTCTATGTTTGACTTTTTGACATCTGTTATTTGATTTTTGAGTGAACTCAAATTCATTTGACTTTGAGGGTTATAAGCTGTTCCGTCTGCAGCTCCACCATAGCCTGCCATTTTCGCTAAAAGTGCCGCTCTTAAACCTCCACTCTGTGCAACAATAACTCGGTTTAAAAGCATAGGGTTGCTTGACATTTGTTGCAACATAGTGGGGTTATTCATCATTTGTTGTTGCAACTGTTGTTGTGGTGTCAGTTTTACTATTGGATGTTTCAATGCTCCCTTCCTCTTACGTATATTCTTACGTAGCTTACGTGGCATTTTAAGTGAAGTTAAAAAGCGGTTTTTGACAGATGTTTATATGACACTTTTTGTTCAGCACAAAAAACTACTCGGTCAAAGTGTTGTCGGTTTTGTAAAATAACCGTCCTATCTCATTCTATAAGGGGGAAAAGGCTTCTCAAAGTATACTTCCTTGGAACGCCTGTAACTTTTCCTGTAGCGACGATAGACCCTTACTTGTCCGGACAAAGTTATACTATTTTGAGCGCTCTACAAAAAAGTCAACGGCGACGACTCTCAAAAACCGTTGTGTAAAAAGTTTTACCGTTGGACAAAAAAGTATATATAGAAAACAAAAAACGTTTATAGTTCATTCAATATTTGAGATAAACCGTTTTTCCAACGGTAACTATTAAATAAAATAAAAAAATAGAGGGGGTCTCCGTTGACGAAAACGGTTTATCTCAAACTTTTCTATGAGTGGTCCGAAAAAAACAGTTCATTTTTATCTAATGGAAGCCAACGCTGTTAACCACAATTCAAACATTAACAATTCTCAACCGCTAACCAAAGCCAAAGCCCCACAACCTCCAAGAACCGGCACAGCGGTTAGAATAACCACCAAAAGGTCTAACAGCGAATTAAGAGAAATTCTTCAACAAATTTGCTCTAAATATCTCAAAGACGCCGAAGAAAACACACAACCAGACGCTACATACAATACTCAGTTCTGTGAAGTTCTGAACAAAGCAATTACTAGTTCAATTGAACTTACTAAGACAATTCCAAGTCCAATTGAGCTTAGCGATGTCTTAGTTCAGTATTTTCCAACATTTACTAAGCTTATAATGTTGAGAACTTTATACCAAGTTCGTCAAAATCTTCCTCGTTACATCCAACGGTCATTCGACAAGAGAATTGCCGAATTCCAAGTCTTTAGTTACGGATATGACGAAGATGAATACGTTGACGAGTTCGGAGACAACTGTACAAAATGGTTTGAATGTTATACGACAACACAATTTGAATTCGACTTTCTCGAATTCAACGCAGCAACCATTCATATCATTGCTCTTTACCTTTCCGAACAACAACAAGACCTCGCAGATGGAGATGTTGTTACTGTCGTCATGAAAACTCCTGAACAATTCGGAAAAAAGAAGTCTCTAATTGCCAAATTCGTTCCAGGACATCAGCTTTTCCAACGCACAGAAGTCTTCTGTATTCCTGGAACTAAGTTCTTTGTCAGGAGCGAACTCAAAGAAAGATATAATGTGTCATTCAATTACACATTATATAATGTTTTCGACCCAGAAGAAGGCTTTTTCCCAGAAGCAATGGAGGAGGAAGAAGAGGAGGAGGAAATACAAGACTCTATCCAAGAAGAGTCCTCCGAATTCACACCAGAAGACTAACAATTTTCCGAATAAAAACTTCATTTATACTAAACATCTTCGGGGCTAGAGGGCGCAACGCGCCTGGAAGCCCCACTCACCTGACCTTATTATTCTTGTATATCTAAGAATTTTCAAAATTTAAAATGTCAAATTATTTCAATTGAACGATAAAATTAATCAGACCCGAATTACAAAATATCATTAAGGGTGCACCCGTATGTACGTTTATTTGAGAGGAGGAGGATTACCCTCTCAATTTTGAGGGATTCGTTAGTTTATTTTCTCGATGAATATGCAATAAAATTTGATTTTTACCTTATCAATATACTTCATATAATATACACATGTTCATGTAAAAACTTTTTCCCAAAATCCTCAGGTAGGGTTGTTAAAAATATCAAAAATTAGCGTTTTGAAGACACCATGGTGTCTTATAATTTTCCCTTCCTTATTGGCGTGTAGAAATAAATGCGCCAATAGATTGAAGAAGAAGAATTGTTTTTCTCTTAATGAACTTTAATCCTTTTGATATAAGAATATTAAAAACATTAATATAATTTCGATTTGAGATTGGGACAAAGTTGCAATTCGGCACTTTTTGTAAAAAAAATGGGGTCATACTCATAATGAATAGAGACTTATAGCCAAGTCTTGATATCATGCAGGGAGAATATACATTGATAAGCAATTATATTTTATAGTAGTAGTATTCAGAAATTCTTACAATTTACAATACAATTTTCAAAAATGGATAAAGACTTATAGCCAAGTCTTGATATCATGCAGGGAGACTCTCTACAAATACAAAAATTGATTATCATAAGGAAATACAAATTTATCAATTTTCATGTGAAAATTACATAAATTTGTTCTCCAATAAATAGCAATAATACTTTGAATGTTATATTAAGTAATATAGCTTCAGGTAAATAAGCTCACACTTCCAAAATATACTGTTTATTCATTAATTTTAAAAAAAGTCCAAATTATCTAATCTTGCTTACTCTTCCTTTAAACTTCTTTGTGCCAAATTTAATATTGCCTTCAAAGATGGAATAAGGACATTAGGTTCAATCCTTCGGCTTTCGACAATTTCCAAAATGTGTTGAATTAATTTCAAACATTCATCGTGTTTTGAAGCTCTTTGCTCAACAATCTGATTACCTGCCCTTGTAAGAATTCTTACTGCTCTTTCTTCATTCAAAACATTAGCGACTTGAACCTTAATAATCGCATTTGGAATCACAACAGTGATGAGAGTTATGACGATGTCATCAATGCGCTCATTTTTCTTACCCAAGAAAAATGTTTGCTTTAATTGATGAAAGTGTGATTCCGCAATGTTATTCGTGGAATCACCTTCTCCACGATATAACATCATCCAATGTTCTTTGGTTCTTCTCCATTGTTTATCGAAATACTTCAAAGCGTGCGGTTCTTCTTCTTCTAACATTGTTGTCAAGAACTCATATGTTTCATCAGACTCTTCAGCCAGCTTTTCTGCATTCGTTGCATCTGCACGTAATGTCAAAAAGTCCATTGCTAAATAGAAGTTCTCAAAATTCTGTGGATTGTCAAAATAGCTTCCAACTTTTGCACATGCGCGTAAAACATGCACAGCGCACCAACTGAGCTGCGCAAGAGGAAATCCGTCCTCAATTGCGCGAGCAATGTTTAGCGCACAGTCAGCGCTCCAATGCTGTGGATCCAGGTGCGCAAACTCACAGAATTTCACCAAACATTCTTGAATTTTTTCAGATGTCTGAGGGTTCACTAAAAAATAGCAAAAGGGGAAAATTGTGTTTTGACTTGTTTTCATTGTTACTGCAAACAATTGGATCTTTCCTTTAATTAAAGAATGAGTGGAATCGACGTGGAGAGGGTTATCAATGCTATGCACCAATTCTTTTGCAGCAAAAGGTGCATATATGATTGTAAACTCGGAAAAATCTCCATTGTAATCAAATTGAACGAGATCATCTGGGCACTCTTCCTGTAAATTATTCAAAAATGCTTCCAAAGAAGTGTAAGGATCGTTTGATAATCTTTGTGCAATAATCTCATCAAGGCGATAAAATTTGTGCTTTAAAGCATCAGTAGACTGCGCGAAAAGTTTCATCGTTTCTTTGTTATTCGTATCAATTCCGAACTTATCAAAAAATGCTTTTTGAGCAAGAAATTGCTTTCCACCGTTTTTAATATAAAGTTCGATCCATTTTTGATAAAATTTACTCGCGTAATGTGAACCCATTTCAACTCCTATATGATGGCAATGTTCTTCATTAACTTTGCTTATAGTAAACACTCCATTTTGTTCTTCAACCCTAAATTTTTCCTTGCATAGGGGATACGAACATGAATAAGTGACATATTGCTTTGGAGATCCCGTTCTTCTTCTGTATGGGGCACCGCCCTTGACTTCCTGTTTAATACCAAAAGCAATAAGCTCCTCTAAGTCCACCGAAATCATAAAAATGAAGTGATTTTGAAAAGAGTTAACAAAATTCAAATCACATCAAAAACAAAAACACATAAAAAATATTTTATTATACTCATTCGAAATTAAAAATAATAAAATTTATATATATTAATTTCATTAAATCAAGGTTAAAAATCTCACCGGAAAAATAACCTCAGTGTGATAAATTTATCACCGGAAAAATTTACAATAAGGTTAATACCGAAAATATCGAACAATCAACATTTAAGGTTAATTTAAGAGTATGCACTTTTGTCACTTACTCATTTCGATTTCGGAAATTAAATTTCCAAATTTTTTGTCGATTTCGGAAATAACAGGATCCCGCATCCAACACGCAACAACAAAACACAAAACACACTTTTTGGTTCTTTCATCGTTTTAATCGTAATTTATGTAATACATGATTTGGATAAATTTTACAAAAATAGAACCTATATTATATTCTTTTCAAAGATTCTTGCAAATCATCAAAAATAATTGTGTTTTAAAAAACGATCAAATTATCCTTTCATTATTTTAAACTTAAATTAGTTTTTATGATTGACTAAAGCAATCATATTTATTCATCATTAAATAAACAAAAAATAATATTTGAGAGTTATTTCAAAAAAAACACATTGAATTTATTAATTTGTCTCAATTTCAGTATTATAAATTTTTATAATTTCAATATTTTGAAATACACTTTTTAATATTTCAATATTTATGATATTTCAATGTATTAAGTGGTCTCAAATTGAGCTTCTCAAATATAAGTTGGCCTATTCAAATAATAAAATTAAATAATATTTAAAATAATAAATAAAAGTGATTGAGGTCATAGCAAAACGGCTGTTTCAGTCATTAATTCTTAAAAATAAAAAGGGTAAAAACTAAATAAAATGGGTAAAATTCAATAGTGTCTGTGCTGTCGTTCAATTTGAAGGTGTCTTTTGAAACCGCAAGACACATTGAATTTTTGAATAGTATATTATGGTTTGACAGACACCAATGAAAAAAATAAAATGATATTTATTTTAAATATATAAGATCCTTATATAAAATATAAATATTTTATCGTTTTCTTTTCTTGTTTTAGAAATGTTTTTTATTGAAAAATCAATAAAACTAACTCCAAAATAAAATTTTTGATTTAAAGACATTATGATGACACCAGGCAAATCTTCCAAGACACCTATCGTCGGGAATCTAACAACCCTAAATATACACATGTTCATGTAAAAACTTTTTTCCAAAATCCTCAGGAATTAAGGGATTTTTGAATTTTAAGAATTTTTTTCGAATTTTTTCGAAAAAAAAATATTTTCAGAACAGCCTTAACGGCTAAGATTTAGGAACAATGTTAAGTATCAAAAAGAAAGGAGGTCTGATATAGACAACATATATCGTTGAAGGTTGAAAAAATCTCTAATATTTGAGCCCAAAATTTCAAATTTTAATTTTTTGAAAAAAGAGGCCACCCGTATGTACGTTTATTTGAGAGGAGGAGGATTATATTTTTGAAAGGGTGAAACATTATGAATATGTTAATTATATAATAATATGTATTATTATAAAAAAGAAAAAATAAAGCACGTTAAATTTTTTCTTTCTTGATTTTTTACAAAATCTACTTAGAATTATGCAAAATATGACTAAATAATTATAAATTTCAAGTTAAATTTTAATTTTGATAAATAATTTAAATTTCAAAATATCAAGTTCAGTTCGACTATGTATGTAGTAATTCCTCAATAAAGTGCCAAAACCCTATTAAAATATATGAACATTTTCAACATTTTAATGTTTTTATTTAAAAATTTGTTGGAATATGAGCTTCAAACAATTATTATGTAAATAAAAATAATTAAATATATGTATTTATTCGTATTACAACCGTAGTAAGTCGATTCTTCCTTTCTTCTACTGAGGTTTGAATTTGATTTCGAATTGTAAAGAGATTCAAAGGGAAAATACTAGCGGATAAAAACTACCTCCATGAAAGGGTCATAATGGAGTCAAGTTGTATTTTTTGATATTTTTTGCTTTTCGAGCCTAAATAGGTAGCCAAGATAATGCCTAAAAATAAGGTTCTAAATTCTGAAGTTTACATGATCCTCTCGTGTGCACCCTTAATATTCTGTGATTTTAATCATAATATGCAAATGTCAGCAAATAAATTTGATAAAAGTCAGCCACAATTTCATGTTTGAAAAGCATTTAAGAGATAATATATTTGAAAATAAAATAATTTGATTTCCATAAAATGCTTTGAACAAATTTTATATTAAGTATTCAATTTTCCGAAGGGTTATTTTAAAAAGAATATAATTTATTGCAATCATATTAAATGTTTGATTTTAAGACTTTTTTTACATTTTTTGTCATTTTACAGATGGACAATATACTCAAAGCAGGATGGTGTTCTAAAGAAGGAGGTGTTGTTCATAACATCAAAAGGAGATAGACTGTTCTCACATTTAATGATATAACATATTCCGGCACAATTGGAGGATAAATCAAAGGAAAAATTGAAATTACTCCTGAAACGAAAGTTTCTGCTGATTTGACTTATAAAATTCAACCATGCTTCACGGTTTCTGATATGCAAATTAAAAGAACCTACTATATAATAACCGATACAGAAAATGAAAGGGATGACTGGATAGATATGATTCACACGACAATAAACATTCAAACGGGAGGAAACCAAGCTATTATTTTGAAAAATTATGCAGAATTATATCAAAATTATATAAACTTTAGCGAATTGATCTGGAACTTAACCAAGCATGGAATCCCTACTATTATTAATAGCTTTAAGTATCTTTTCCGTCAAAAAATATTTACTCCAGAAAGGATACTCTCAATATTGAAGAATATTTGTAAAGTCTCTATCAAAAAAACAGAATTATTCGCTAATTTATACGAAAGGCTTTCCAAAGAATGCAATATAAAATACGACGCGTCTTATTTTGATGATTTACTGCCAGTCAAAGCAATTTTGATTATCAGGAAAGTAATCGAAGGAGAAATGCCAACCGATTATGTAAACTGCTCGGAAGAAGAAATTTCAAAGGTTTTCAAAAAAGGATCTTTATTTTACAATCTACTATGGGATGATGTAGATTCATTAAGACCAGAGTTCAATGCGACAGAAGGACAATGCAAGGAAAAGTTTAATACATCAGTTATCGGCCTCGCAGCAAGATTTGGATCTTATCGTGTTTTTATACAGATTTTGAATTCGGAGTCAGGCAATTTAACAGAAGATGTGTTGAATGAGGCGTTCGCTGGAGGAAACTTTGAAATTATCAAAGAAATTCAAAAGAAGTTTCCAAAAATTCCAGAAGGTGCATTAGATTTGGCCGTTCAATACCACCAAAACGCCGTAATTAACGAATATATCAATGATAATGTTACAGATTTTTCATGGTTGACTGCTTTGAAGTTCGGAAATTTCAAAGCTTTCTTTGATAAGGTTTTCAGTGCGAAAGACCACAACAAACGCGATTTATCGGGTCTTACATCATTAATGGCCGCTGCAGAAGAGGGCTACACTCCAATTTGTAAATTAATTGCCGAACTTGGAGGATCCGTCGACGCTTTGAGCAGTACGAATGATACTGCATTAATATATGCGTTGAACAACAAGAACTTCGAGGTTGTAGCCAGTTTGCTCGAAATCGGAGCGAATATCAACATTAAAATAGAAAATGGATCATGTCCTTTGCTTATTTGCACACAGAATAATAATGTAGATGCAGTAAAGTTCCTCGTTCAGTACAAATTAGGCGTTGATTCTTCAAATTACGACAAAGAAACTTAATTAATTATTGCAACTCAAAAAAATAATTCGGAAATTGTTAGATGCCTCTTAGAAAAGCAGGCAAATCCAAATCTAATCGACACAGATGATAAAACTGCTTTAGTTCACTCAGTTATCAACAATAATTTTGAAATTTGTCAATTATTGGTAGAGCACGGAGCAGAAATTCATCCTCAAGGAACATCATTCTCATCAAATGCATTTTCCCACGCTTTGAATAACAACAGATTAGAATTTGTCAAATTTTTCATAGAACATAAGGCAAATCCGATGGAAGTTGACTTGAAGAATAGAAATTCCATAATGATTACGATGGAAAACGGATATACCGAGATTTCTGAGTTTTTGCTGCCATTTATAACTGATTTCAAGCAAAAAGACGACAAAGGTATTCCTCTTATATTTTATGCCGTAAGGAAAGGCCAGCATAATGTCCTTAAGCATATTATAGAGAATACAAAAGATTTTGATATCGATATCCAAATCGATGGCGTTTCTCTTTTATTTGAAGCCGTTAAATGCATGAATCCAGATGCTGTTCAAATAATTCTGCAGTACAATCCATTGGTCGAACATCCAAATGAGTTCGGAAAAACTCCATTGATGGAAGCATGCACAACTGATGACGATTTAAGTGCTGGACTGCTTATTGATGCTGGAGCGAACATAAATGCTCGAGAGAATAAAGGAAATACTCCGTTACACCATAGTTGCATTTCCAAGGGAAACAAAACCGGAAAGCTTTTGCTTGAAAGGGGTGCTGACATGGAGATAATCAATTCTGATGGAATTCCTCCTTTGATTGCTGCAACAATGAAGAAGAACGCAGAGATGGTAAGAAATCTACTTTTATTTAACTCAAATGTCAACGTAATGGATGCGTTCGGAAATTCTGCCCTCATTCATGCTGCTCAAATGAACTGCCCTGAAATTGTTGAAGTTTTGATCTCGTTTCATGCTGATACAACGATTATTAATAGAAACGGAAATGATGCATTGGCAGCCGCGAGAAAGTCAGGATCTCCTCAAATAATGAAGCTACTTTCTGAAAACAGAAACAAATAATTTATTTTATTATTTTGAATTTCATCAAAAATTTGATGACTTGATTTGTTGTATATATTATTTGTCAAACTTTTAATAAACGTATTTCTTGTTTGGAACTTTTTTTTCCCCTTATTTTGGTTTTACCCAAGACTTCGAAGCCTATTGAAAAACTAGAGGATCTTCCTTCTCCTATGTATTCACTAGGAACCAAATTTTCATATAGAGAGAATAGTAACTAGTTTATGAAGAGTGAAATGTAAAGCGAATTTTACTATAATGTAAACAAAAAATGTATATAATTGACTATATTACGCCCATCAAATTCAATCGTTTTTTTTGAATTTGAATTTGAATTTGAATCAATTGAAATCAAATTCAAACGTGCTTGTAATATATATTTATTATGTTTCATTAATTATTAATGTTTTGGCACAAACTTTGTTTAGTAAAGATTGTTATTATGAAAATCAATTATTATTTCATATTTAATTAATAAACGTAATTATTCCAATAATAGATTTAAATGAAATTATTTCAAATAAAATACGAAAAGTGACAAATCAGTTTAAATTGATGAAATGATTTGAATAAAAAGTTATGTTTTTTATATTTAAAATATAGACAACAATAGTTTACATCGAGATAAATACTAAATAGGGGGTAAAATACAAATAAAGTTAGAGAAGAGTGAAATTAAAGATATCAAAATTGGAATCATTCATTGATTTCATGAGATCATCAAATTGGAACTCGTTTATTTCGAATTCAGATCCGCTGGATGATTCCTTTGGCAAGCTTGTTGCAATTTTTTCAACATTGATTGTTGTTGTGGGCTGCTCCTTGAGGGTTTTTGTAGTTAAAATATGATATTTGTTTTTAACTTGACTATCATTTCTTCCTTGGAAATGCTTTGCAATCTCTGTCCATCTATGATTTAAAGCTGTAACTAAACTTAATAGTTTAGTTTCTTCTTCTTCTGTCCATGGACCATTATTGACATTTGGAGATAAATATCTTGTCCATCTGTCTTTGCATTGCCTTTTATTTCTTCCAGGCATCTTATTTGCAATTGTCTTCCAATCATTCTCTCCATAACGATTGACGAGATCAGTAAGATGCTTATCTTCTTTTGCTGAGAAGCGGCAATTGACACGATTGCGAGACATCAATGCGTAGGCTTGCATTAAAAATTATAATGATGCTCATTTAATTTGAATGAACTCTTTTAAAAATCGGCGGCTATCATTCTTTTCATTTTTTTCAATAAATGTAAATTTTATACAAGAATATTTCGATACAAAATGTTACTTATCATATAGAAAACCACAATTTAACTATTTTGGGGAAAATATCATAACAAAATAATTCAATGAATACTTTGCAAAAAATCAATGAGATTTTGAGTTTAAACTTAAAATAAAAATTATTTTAGTACAAATTGATTGTAGTATGTATAAATATGATAACTGTTTTCAAAGAAGTAAAAAAAATTCAATGGCATATTTTACGTTGAAAACGTTTTCAGTGTGATAGTCTTCTGGTATCTTATGAATACATTTCTATATCATTATTGCAACAGATTTAATTGACAATCTTTTGTAATCACTTTTCTTTTTCAAATGAATATTTATTTTATTTTAATCTATATTTGATACTACAAAAATTAATTATTTGATAAAGTTATTATGAATGCTCCTGAAAGTCCATTCAATTTATTCACATTGAATTCATTCAGAAATGTGTCAGTTTTATAAGTGGTTCAGCAAAATGATTGAGCGATAAATATTTCTCTAATTAATAAAAATAGAATGAGTATTAACATTGACTGTTTTGACGTAAAACACTTTTCAATAGATTCTATATATTGAAACTGAAGAAAATTTATATAATGGGTTAAGTAACAGTTCCCTAAAAAGTGATTCTAACAATGCATACTCAAACATAAGAAGACCCAAGACAATCATTTTCTAAATTAATCTTTTTCACTGGTTTTCTCGAATTTGCCAAATTTATTTTTTTCATATTTGAATTATTAATATCAACCATTTGAAGAATGACCATAGAAAATCACAACCAACTAGATTTAATCGAAAGAAACATCTTATTTAGAGTTGTGGTATTCTTTTTTTTCTAGATTTAACATGAATTGTACAACAATATGGAACATCCCATTATATTTACAAATGTAGAATAATATTTGTAATTTAGTGTTTATGATTTCATATTTGAGTATTTATTTTAAATTTTTAGATGGATAATATGAACTATTTAATCCGAATTCATATGTAATAATCTTCCCATATAACTATCTGCAGTAAGTCAAGAATCGATACATTATTTTTTATTTTACTTCAATTTTTTATTATTTTGCTGAAAAATAACAAGACAAGACTTATGTGTTTTAAAATAAAGAATAAGCCGGACTTAAAGTTCGGCAAGTTGCTCATCATTTTCATCTTCTTCTTCATTCCTGTGCTCAGTTTCTCCCTTTTCCTCTTCTTCTTCATTGTTTTTGGCTTTAGGTTGAACAAATCCAAAAGCGAGTGACAAAATAATGAATAAAATTCCAACACAGCAAATTCCAATTTCCCATTTCTTATAAGCATCCCATTCATGAAGGAATGCAACGCCAACAATGACACCAGTGATTAATTGACCAAATGGAACTAAGTTAGTTCCAAATGAGCCCAAAGCAGTAACTAAGTAAAGAAGACATTGAACGGCAACACCTGATACCAAAACGCCAACCATAACTGGCCACAGCCATGCAATTGGAGGGGCATCATTTACCATTTGGGTTATATTCTTTGGGCCATCAAAGCAAAGCATCCAAATAGCATTCCAAAGTACTGACGCAAATAGTTGGATCGCGACACCTGTAGTGACATCTGAATTAGGGCACTTCCATTTGTAAAATACTGGGGCAATACCAAACATAATAACGGATATGAAAACTAAAAAATACCCAAGACACATTTGCTTAATGGATGCACCAGTTGATTCTGCATGTCTAAATGATGGTACGCCACATAATGCAACACCGGCAATTGATGCAAGAATTGACCAAAGTTTCCACCATGTAAAGGGTTCATCGGAAAGTACAAAATGAGCTAAAATTGCTCCTGCGCCAGTAGATATTGGAAGCATAAGTTGGACATCGGCTGAAGATACCCACTTTTGTGCAACAGCAATTAAACAGTGAGGAGTACCTAAGTTTAGAAGCCCGTCAATCAGCATCCAAACAATTGGCATTACTCCGCTTGTAAAATGTGCCTTGACGATTTGTCTGTAAACGCCATCTTTATTAATAATATATCTAACAATAAGTAATCCGACAGTGAAAATAAAACCGAAAAGCATTCTAAAAGTCTGGAATAATCCTGCGGAGAAGTACTTCAATCCTTTCGCAACAAAAGCGTAGCTAGCTCCATAAAGAATAGCGGCTACAACAAAAACTATACTTGATAATACTGTGCACTTCATCAAATTAGTTTGTTGTTCTTTCTATTTTGAGATCAAATTTTTTTCAATGAGAAAGACCAAACCATATGATACAGATTTATAGATGATTATAATCTCAATGTAATTTATTAAAAATATTTTATATGACATTTGAATGAGCATCGTTCAAAAATCGGTTACGGTAAATCACTATGAATAAAGTAAAATTATCATTAAAAATTGAAAAATTAAAATGGGTGGATTTTGAAAGAGATTCATCGTTTTATCACAATTTCATTCCCCTCAATTGACCTACCGTAGGTTGAATAGCCCGAGACCAATTTCAAAGGTCGTGTACCAATAAAAAATTTTGAATCAATTTACACAACGTGCCCATTTTACTCACTCAATATTTGAGAAAATAATTCAATTTTGAGAAGAATGGTCCTCTGCGTTTTGAGTGAGTGACGAAAAAAAATCTCAGAAAAATTGAATGAGTTTTTATGGCCATGAACCAAATTTGTGAAGTTCCCGTTTAAAAAAAAATGCAACCAAGAACACGAATTCCCGAGTTTGCAGAATTAGAAAACTATAAAAATCTTGGGCTATTGACCCAGATGCAACTCGATTTACTCTATCGAAGAGTAAATGGCGAGTCTTATCAACAAATACGGAATGTTTACTCAATTTCAAAGACGACAGTAGCACGCGCAATCATGCGCACTGCTACTTGTCGTTCATGGACAAAAGGTCAGTCAGGGTGTGGTATGACAGTTAGTATGGGTTAGTTGGGTACTGTGGCACTGTGTTCCACCTTACCCATTATATGTGAATTTGACACTTTACAAAACCGTTAACGTATATTTTACAACACAAACGACAACATTAACTTAACCTTAAATATTTACAAAGCCGCCAACCACTTCACCTCACTAACATTTTCACTAACGACTTCACTAATGAAAAAATAAACATTCTCATAAATTTTCTTCTATATCTTCATCGTCAATGTTAACTCTATTGTAGTCATACTTGAAGTCATAAAGTTTCTCAAGTTTTGAAATGCATAGTCTTGTTAACTTACCTTCATCATCATAAGTTTTTATAAAACTACCATGACAATCTTTATAAACAGTCAGTGTATAATCTACTGGTCTAGGATGAAGTGTAAAGAACATGTTATACTCAGGAAGGAAGAATAAATGTTTAAATGTATGTTTGTTATATTTTTCGATTTGTATGAGTTGCTTTTGTTCTGTCATTTATATAAAAATAAAATAAAAAATAAAATAAAAAATAAAATAAAAAATAAACTTAAAAATTAATGATATCACCACCCTCACACGTGTGAAAACATAGCACAAAAATAAATTTAGGTGAAGTGGTGAGATCTCACCTGTTTTTTCACCTCTTTTTTCACCCTGTTGAATTCATTGCTTTATAACTCTCTTCCTTGGTTTCTTTTTAGTTGCTTTCTTCACGTCTGTCTCCAACTTGACTGTCTTTCTTCTTCGGCCGTAATGATACCAATTACTTCCACCAGTCAATGGGTCAAATGGTCTTTCGTAAGGGTTTCCATACATTCCATAGGGACCATACGGAAGAACTACTGGTGGAGAAGAAACATTTTCTTTAGTTCCATCGAATCTATTTAAATGCATTGTTTCACCTTTCATCTGGTCATTAAAGTCTTTTGCGTGTTTTGCAAACTCATCGTCCTTTCCTAAAGCATTTTCTGACTCAGTCGCAACCAAATTGGATGCTTTATTTATGAGCCCTATTTTATTTAATCTTAACTTCTTTGCAACCCAGCCTCCAATCTTTCCTTTATTTGCATTTAATGTCTTTGAAACCCTTCCTCCACTCATTTTATTTACTGCGTCATAAGCTCCAAGTGCTTTTGCTCCAAATGCTAATGCTTTTGTTCCCATTGCGCCTAAAGCTGCCCAAGCTACCATTTACACCATATTAAAATCATCTCTCTTCAATATTATCTCATAAAAGTTCTCGTTACTGGAGAAAGTCAATGAAACATAAGCGTTCTCACGGGCTTCGCCCTCACCACTTTGCGGTCTATCTAACTTCTTTCTTATCTCATCTATACGCTTCAAAATGTCTGAACAATTGCTAACATCTTCTACAACAGTTATTTCATCATGAATGACCTTCAAGAACAAGCTCATTTAATATGCTATTAAAATCATCTCAATAATGAGTCCATCCTTTCCATCTTTGGGTAGCACAACATCTTTCATTGAAGAAGGTTCGACAAGTCTTATGTTAAACTTACTGACAAAGTTTGTTATACTATAATGCTTTGGCGGCGAATACATATAGTTTGAAAGACATAATATAGATTCTTCAGCAAATTCACTTATACTGGATTTTATAACAATGTTTTCACGAGACCAAATACCACCAATTGACAATCTTGTAAGCAATCCTGCTGAACCTTCTACTGTAAAAGTCGATGGTAACATTCCACGAAGGTCATCTATTGACATCGTTGAGTCACTGTATTTAAATATTTTCTTAAAGCAATCGTCATTATCTAACCATGCAATAGCTTTGAAGTTTTCATTCGAATATACATCTGCTTCATTAAATGTAAAACCTGACTTCTTTGCAGAGATGACTTTAAAATCTATTGAGTTTGTTTCAAAATTATATGCTATGGTAACTTCTGAAGGTAATGGATGTCCTTCCGCAGTCAGTTGTTCTCTCACTACCGTTTGAAGCTTTGTGTTAAAAACTTTCATGTCATCTCCTGTATCTAAGTTCACATACACAGCAACAGGAAAACTATCTTGCTTCTTTGTTTCATCATTATACCTCAAAACATTAAAGTTCTTCAATAATATTGTTCTTCCTGCTGGAATACTTCGAACCTGTCTGATTTCAATAGCTTTCTCACCTCCTACATACTCTACCCAGTGTCTTGGATATTCATAAGTATACTGACTTTCTTGAATTTTGGTTGGTTTCATCATAACATGTTCATAGTATATCTTTATACTCTTGTCAGTTAGACTCGGTGCTATGTTCTGAATATTTCTGACTTGCATTTTTAATGGAGATAAAATGAAGCATTTAATACATGACGTAGATGAAGACATGAATGAAACTACAGACAAACTTAACTCTTCTCTCATTCTTCCTTTCAGTAAGGACTATGAGTTCTGTTCAAATGGCGTTTATTTCTATTGTGGAAAGATGGGTCAGGTAAAGACATTTAATCATTCGTCATATACTCATAACAGAACGTTTAGGAAATGACTCATATTATGACCAAATCATTATATCAGCAACTTCAGACTCTATGGACTCAACAGCGAAAACATTTATGTCAAAAGTTCAAGCCTCTGTCGTTAAAGTTCCAGACAGTGAACTCATTGAATTTCTTCAACGTTACATTCGACGTAAGAGAAATATTATGCCATCGTTGAATTTATACAGTCAGGAATGCAAAAGACTTCTGAGGAGATGGAAAGAATTATTGACAAACACCACTTACGTCAATACTCAGGAGTTTACGATATGAAACGACTTACAAACTACATTCTGTCAAAACTTTCAAAATACCCCTTCAAAAAGTATCCTTCAAACACTCTGCTCGTTTGTGACGACTTCGCTGGAAAAGGTTTAGTGTCAAAACCAGACTCACCATTAGCTAACATCATTACTAAAGTCAGACATTACCATTTAACTGTAGCAATACTTATGCAAACATGGAGGTTTTTAGCTTTAAACATAAAACGTCTCATAACTGACTTCGTTATCTTTCAAGGTTTCTCACGCTATGACATTGAACTCATTTGGAAACAGTCAGGTATAACATTACCTTTTGAAGAAATTTGGGAAGCATATAAGTCTCTCATCTCTCCTCGTTCATACCTTGAGATTCATATCATGACTAATACCATTAAAGTCAAAAATATTCCATGGGAACGACCAACATTGTTTTAAAGTTTAACCTTCAATTGACTGATGGTAAACAAATTCCATGCATCTCTGTCGCCATTTCTGTTAATATTTTTGCTGTCATTCATATCATCCACTTCCCCATCCGTTAGCTTTTGAGGATATGCGTTAGAATAGCTGTTCTTAAATGAAGGCTTTTCACCTTTGAGAGCATAAACTCTATAACTTTCTGCATACTTTATGTTTGAACCTCCTGAGCCATCATTGACATAAATTTTTATAGGCTTCCACCCTTTGTTCATGTTCCTGCTTCTTCCCTTAGCTCTTTTGTTCAGTAGTTCTACATCTTTATACACAGCACCTGTCTCAGTGAATTCAACAATATTTTCATTCGTTAGCTTTACATTCAAACCCTTGTCGAGTATATTGTTCATTTCATACATATAAAAGGTTTTTATTCTATATGAAATGAGAAGCAAATCCATCTTAGCTGGTGCCGTTAATGTTCCAATTGAACCAACATCAAATGTTGACTCACGAACGACAAACAATATTGTCATAAAGAACTATAGTTCAGAGTGTTTGAAAGAACCAGAACCAGAGCTGAAATCCGTGAATTTAAACTCAGCTTCAAACGCTAACGCTACATCAGATGTTAAGTTAGAGTATCCACCACTGGACCAAATTCTTTCAAGAGAAGCCAACGACAATCCTTACACAAATGTTCAAACAAATCCTTCAGATAACGTAGACCATTACCTTCTTCAGTTATACCAAACAATTTTACTCAAAGACGATAAGAAGCTTTTGACAAATCTTATAAGCAAGAACCAAATAATTCTAACAAAGGAGGACCTTGAAAATGTTATCTCACGAATAACAGGGAAACAATGTGTCATTGACTATCTCGACCCTGAAATCGAATGCTGTGGTCAAACTCCACTATTCATGAAAATAGGTAACATCCGCATCATTGAAACACCAGGAACTACAGGAGTTGAGTTTAAGTATAAATATTCGAACGAGTATACAAAACTATCTACTGACTATAAGCTTTGTTTGAAATATGTTTTAGTAAATTAAAGCAGTCAGGAGGGCTCTTTGAGCCCATCTTGGCGCTTTGCGCCGTCAGTCAAAAAAATTTCAAGTTAGCAATTTGTAATATCTATCCAAAACTTCTTCAACAGTATCGAACTCATCTTCATAATGCAAACCTAATCTTATTGACTTGGTGCAGTTTTCACTAACACAATATTTTTCTGTTCTCTTGACTGACATAACTAATTCATTTGTTTCATCAAACAGCAACAACCAAAGTTCATGACCTAATACATAACATTCATACTTTATATTTTTAGCTCTGAGTTCTCTTGTAAGCTGTTGCATTTAATATTTTCTAAAAAGTCAACTTCAACAGTCATTCGCACTGGTGCCTTCAGTTCTACAGGCTCTCCTTGAAAGTCAACAAGTCTGAATTGCATGTCTTTCAAATTATGAGGACTAATGCGAACCCATTTACCTAAATGAGTTGCTATGACAGGAACGTTTGGAATGAACATTGAATTGACTGCATAACAGAAGGATTTATATTCTACTGAACCTTTACTATTAACTCCTGAAATGCCTGTGACATTAGCTATTTTAGACTCAATGTATAAACAATTACCATAACATACGTATGGAACAGATTTCATCTCAATCGTTTTGTCAACACTTTTCAAAGGAAATGTCATATGGTATGCACCCAAAAGAAGTTGTACTCTATGACTCATTCGTGTTATCTTAAACTCCTTCGCATAACTGAACTTCAAAACTCCTGCAATAAGTTTAACATTCATTAAGTTTTCTTCGTTATCCTTGTTTATTGTAGTATTTATGAGAGCATTTAACACTCCAGCTAATGTTTCCATCTTATATTCTACATTATTGTGAAATCTTATTTCGTGCTTCTTTCCATCTATTTCAATCTCCATGAAATCTGTTTCATCTGTTATAACGAATGAAGCGATAGTATTGAAGTCAACCATTCTGAATGCAAGCGCCTCATTCTGTAGACCTAAGTTTGTTTGTAGCTTTACTGTCCCGTATTCGTTTGGGTCTGTACTTTGCAAATAGAACAACATTTTATTCTCATTAAAATATGAGTATAGCTGCATATGCGTATGAAGCTGACAGAGCTAAACGTTTATATTTTGGTCAATACTCTCTCACACTTACTGACAAATATATTGTTATCACTGATGGAAATACTGAGAAATACATAACATGGAAGGACTATGAAAAGTTTGACCCTATTTTAACTCCATGTACTATGCCGTTTATAAAGGACGGTGAAATTATTGAAAAAGATAATACAACCGTATATAGGTCTGTTTATGAAGCATTAGAATATATGTTGAATCATAACCCAAAAAGATTTGACCCAAGCACTACACCATGTGCAATGCCTTTTATTAAGGACGGTGAAATCGTAAGAGTTCCGGATTCAACGGTTTACACAGCTGTTCAAAACAGTTTACAAAACATTTTAGCGAATATCTTTAATTCAGAAACTACAGAAATAAAATTACCGTATATAACAGATGCTAAAGAAATTAAATCAAAAACGACAACATTATTTACGTCACTTAATGATTTAATGACTTATATCATTAATATTCATGCACCAACTACAGCATTTGATCCAAACTCGACGGTTTGCAGTGTACCTTTCATAAATGACAGTTCATTAATTACTTTAAGGGATTCGACAGTAAATGAATCATTAAAGGCGTCATTAATGAAAATCATTGATTTTAATTCATTCACGAATACATATAATTCATTCATTAATGTTTCATATGCTTCTAAAGAAGGTGAGCCAAAAACTATTGATAAAGCGGTGTATGAAATAAAAGCATCAACGACGAAATTGAATTCGTTAACTTTTGACGGTGATAGTTTCGTTAATGACATAACATCGGGGAAAACAATTTTAACGAAAGAATACTTAAAATCTCATGTTAGTGAGTTCGTTGAAATTGAAAAAGAAGGTGGAATTAAGTTCGATCCACTGAATTTCATTTTCAGCTTAGCGAATGCGGGTGTTAGTTTCGCTGAATGGACAACTATACAGAGTGAAATAAATGCAATATGGACGTTTTTGGGGTCAAAAGCGGGAATGGGTGAGCTTGTAAATGCTGCAAGAACATTAGGTGAAACAGGAAATTTTGTAGATGGTTTTAAAAGACTTGTTTCAAATGTTTTAACAAACACAAAGAAATTATTTAGATATACCGTACATAACGGACGGATTTTCGAACAGATAGCAACAAACCCTCCGGTTATGGCTGCGTTGATGATGGTTAGAGATATAAAACCACGTAACGACGGGAACGAAGAACATGAACAACAGGATACTGGTCGGGTTATTCGAGACATTAAAAACGTGTATCCTGAAGTTATTGATTTATTTAGAGGAGTTAATGATTCAATTTCAAAACATTCTATAACCCTCGATGAAGAGAATAAATTAACAGATTATATATTCGTCATTATTGCAGAATTAATGAAGAGAATAAATGAAAAAGGAATTGGTGATATCATTAATGTCAGCGATGTAATGATGAAAAGAAATTTTGACTCATTATTTACAAAACCGAAAACAGAATATAGTCTTTATGACGTAATTACCGAATTAATGAAAAAGATTAATGATAATAAGAGTTCTGGCGGAAGAGTTGAATTAGAAGTGAATGATGTTAATGAGAAATTAGCCGAAAAAGCAGACAAAAATGAGCTTTTAACTCTGAGTGATAAAGTCAAGAACCACGTTCATTATATAACTTCAGACGAACAGATTATAACGGACTACCATGGATATTTAATACAGGATGAACAAATAAGCACTGAAGATGTTAATGAAAGAAGATATAAATACATTCGTGCTAAAGGTTATGACATACACTGTACTGTACAGTATGACACAGGTAAAGCACAAGAAGCATTTGGTTATAACGATGAAATATATGCTTCGTATTTCTTTGTTAACGGTGTATTAGTTGAACCAAGATTTACATTGAGAGTTAAGGCAAAAATAACTTTTGAAGATGCTATTAAAAGTAAAGCTGACAAAGATGAACTTGACGCAACGAACAAAGTTTTGAAATCTCATAAACACAATATCTCCGATATAAATGAACTTCAAGCTACATTAAATAGTAAAGCTGACAAGAACCATACACATGAATCCTTCACTACTGTTAGAGCAGACGACATAATATTGAACTATACCCTTGGTTTAAGTGCACCTTTAGAGAATCCAAGTACAAGCGTAAAAGATACACTAAACTCCTTAAATAGTAAATGTATGAACATTGAAGGTCATGTCAGAAACTTTGAAACACACGAACTACCAGCAATGTTAGATAAGAAAGCAGATAAAGAACATACACATAAATCCTTCTCAACTGTTAGAGCAGACAACATAATATTGAACTATACCCTTGGTTCAAGTGCACCTTTAGAGAATCCAAGTACAAGCGTAAAAGATACACTAAACAATTTAGATAACAGTTGCAGGAATATCGAAGATCATGCCAGAAACTTTGAAGCATATGAACTACCAGCAATGTTAGATAAGAAAGCCGACAAAACTTATGTAGATGAAAATTATGCAAAGAAGTCGGAAGTAAATGCTGCGCTTAATGGAAAAGCCGACAAGAACCATACACATGAAGAATTTCAAACAATCAAGATTAAAGAAATTAAAGCATGCATCGAAATAGTAACAAAAACAGGAAGAAACGGTGCAACTGTACAAGAACAAAGAATTTATCCTCCTACTTTTCCTAATGGTTTAATAACAAACAATATAAATATTGAAGATGGCAATAAAGTTATAAACGTTAAACATGAACTTCAAACAATGAAGGCTCAGATTCTTCAAACATTATATCCTGTTGGCTCTATTTATACGTCAATGAATTCAACAAATCCAGCAAGTGTTTTAGGTTTTGGTACGTGGGAACAGATTGTAGACAAATTCTTATACTGTGCTAACTCTTCAAAGCAAACAGGAGGTTCGAAGAAAATTAAAGAAGCAAACCTTCCACCGCACACTCATACAGGAACGACAAACACAACAGGTAGTCATTCACATTCAATAACAAAAAGAGGTTATGCAAATCTTGCAGCAGGTTCGGATAGACAGGGAATGAATAGATATGATATTTCAGGTGACCCAGTAGATTCAAGCGCAGGTATTTTCTGTGGAACCACAGGAAATCATTCACACACTTTCACAACAAATCCAACAGGCTCGGGTGCAGATTATATGCCACCATTTGTGACTATATTCGCATGGTACCGCGTTCAATGCAAGAACGCCGCCTTGAGCCTTGAAATAAAATCTTTAACTTTACATAAATGAGCTTGAAAGAAGTATTCGAACAACATCCATGGAGGTCATTTAAGAAGTTCAATGAAGCTGCAAAGAGTTGGGGATTTACTAAACAAGCTGAAGTGAAAAGGTTCTTTGACAAAAATGTTGTACATCAACAAAAATAAACCCTTACGACTACTTTTTACCAATTTACTCCAACACTCCTGACGCATACCAATTTGACACTTTCATTCAAAGCAGAAAAGAGGACATAACCCATTCCTCATCTTCATTAATGTTAACACTCGTAAAGCATATGCATATCCAATGAGGAATAAAGGACTCATGATGTTTTAAGAGTTTTACAAAAGTTTGTAGCAGAACATAGCCCAAGTACTTTAACATCAGACCAAGACAGTGCATACCTCAGCAATGAAATCAAAGATTTTCTCATTAAGCATACATAACTCACTACACTACTGAAGATCATAACCATAACATACTCGGCATCATAAACCGCTCATAAGAACGCTCAGAGATTTAAACCAAGAGCGAGACTTTACCGAAGAAACAATGAAACATTTTCTCGAAGTATATAATCCTCAACACATTCTACAACAGGACATACCCAAATTCAATGACACAACAACAAGAAGAAAAGTATATACAAAGAAACGAAGCCAAACACAAAATATCGAGAAATTCAACGCAATTTACCCTCATTCCTGTACAAAAGTTCGTGTAGTTCTTGACGACAAACCGTTGACAAAGAAACGTTTAAGGTTAAGTAGAAACTATTATATCGTAGACTCTACGCAAGGTAATGGATATCTTTATAAAAGCTGCTGACGACTCTATTGCGTTTTACCCTCGACATAAATTAGTTGAAAGTAGTATGGCAAACTTGCTGAACCATTGACGAAGCAAAGCGAGGAGTGGTTATTGAAATACTTGGCTATAACATAAACGATGACACTTATAAAGTAAGATATGAAGGAGGCGTTGAAGATGTTATACCATCTAAGAACTTGAGAGAGTCAAAGCCAACACATCTGGGACCATTAGAGCGGAGGTACTGAAAGACAAAAATAAGCCAGAAAGAATAAGAAAAATTCTTCTAAACTTTTTCATTAGATGTAAATCAAACATGAATGAGAACAGTCATGATATCATTAAATGGTACCATTTATTTTTGTCATAAATTTACACCAAAATATTTTTAGGTGAAGAGGTGAGATCTCACCCGTTTTTTCACTCTTTTTCACCCTCGCCGCTTAGCGGCTCAGATTGCTTTAGCTTTCTCGTGAATTTTCATGAATTTCCTTAAGATAAGAAAAATAAAGTTAGTTTTTATTTATTTATTTTTTATTTTTTATAAAAGATATGATTTCAACAATCGCACAACAACATTCAAGCCACGAACGGCGGGACTCTGTCCACAACTACAGCACCAAACTCGCTAGTCATGAATCCTACGTCAATGTTGGTAGAGATGAAAAGCTTTATTCCTTCTTCATATACTTTTGAACAAGAAATCCAGAAGATAAAGCAAGAACTTTTAAACAAGTAATTTAGACTGTAGTGCGAAAGATGAAACAAATGAACAGCATCTTTATGAAATGGAGGACCTCATCGACCATTTACCCAAATGCCTGAAATCCAACAACAAAAGCTCACTATTCCTGAATTCGATGAAATAGAAGTGAAACCAACTCAGTAAGAATAAGAAGTTCAAACGAAAGGTAAATTATGAGTTTTAGGAATATCATTGCAACCAATAAAGTTATGGACAAAGATTGCGACATGGTATATAAGAACATCTCTGACATATATAAATCTGGGGAGTTTAAGACATACGAGCAACTTTGTTTCATTAGTTGCAAATGTGTATGGCAGATAAGAGATAAAGATAGAAGAGGTAAGGTATGGAATGAACAGATAAAACCAGCAGCTTTGAGTTAAAGAAACCATTGACGCCTTAGTTGTTCTAGCTGGTTTTATTTCAATTATAACGCAAAAACGATGCCGCAATTTCAAAATGTAAAGCAGCAATAAGAAAATATAACTACTCAGTCAAAGAGATAGAAAGAATGCGAAACGAACTATGCAGACTAAAGAAAGAAGCAGAAAGCAGCAGAAGATAAAATGGATATGTTGACATTTCTTAATAAAAACTATCCAACAGCAGAAGATTTCCTTTTATCTGATGTCAAGAAGAAGTATAAAGAAACTTTCGGCATTGTTAAAACATTCGATGTACTAAAAGAAGAAATAGAAGCTACGAAATTGTTTAGGATTTCAAATATACAATCGTACAATTCATGTAAAACGCTTGTGAAAAAAGAGGTGAAAAAACAAGTGAGATCTCACCTCTTCACCTCAACATTATTTTTTGAATTCAGTACAAAAATAATGAATTTCATTAGTTATTTTGTATGTAAAGAAAGTAATGTCAAACTTGAGTTTGAAAACAGTTAGAAAGATAGACAATAACACCAAAGTGGTTAGAATAGGTGATTTAAACGGTAAGATACTCAAAGAAATACAAACAAATATTCTTTGTCAGACATTATATCTCATCTGGAAAGAAACAAACGACTGGGTTAGAAATGCTTCACTCAGAAAATTTTGACAAGAAATCCTGAGCTTAATGAATCAGTAGCATTTCATGGAACAAGAGCATATTTATAGACAAAAGTCTTATACCAATAGTTTTGTTTATGGTTAGACCAAGTTGTTGGATTATACTTATACATATGGTTCATATCGATACGGAACGTTGCAGTGAAGGCTTACTTTACATCGTTCAGAAACCGAAGGACTTCAACACAAAAAGATATAAGATAGGAAGGAGCATATAATATAACAAGATATGACAGTACAGTCAATAGAGTCAAGGTTGTGTTTGTTAATGATATGAGAGCTGCTGAAACAGAACTGCTTGAAGTTTTTGAGAAAATGTATGGTGCTCCCCACGAAAGGTAAAGAAACGTTTGAAGTAGATGAGATAGATAAAGCTATAAAATTATTTGACGAAGTTGCTGAAAATAACTGTAAAGCGTTATTTTTGGTCTTTTGTGAAAGTCAGAAAATAAAGTTAGTTTTATTTTTATTTATTTTTTTATTTTTGTATGTAAAGACAGTAATGACAACATCAGAGAAAAACAACAAGTTATAGTCCATGAGCTATAAAATGAGAATACGAATACATACAATATAACAAACAACTTCGCCTCATTCGTTCGGTCAAAGACGATATGTACCAATGCAAAGTATAATGAACGCTCTCGTTCTACAAAGCAAGCATATCATTGGTTTGAAAAACAACAGACAAAAAACCTTTTAGAAGAATTTCTCATATGATTGCTTCCTCGGAAAACCGAGAGAAGAGATTCCGTACGAAAATCGCAAGAATTTGGCTCCTGGTTTGGAAAGGTTATTATGTTCATAGACTTTTAGTAAACGCTGTAGCAATATGGGCTTCACCTCGTTATGCTTGTTATATTTTCATGATGTTAGATGAACTTATAAAGCAGAACGTGGAGAGATGGAAAAGAAACTTCAAGCAAAAGACGAAGTCATTGAATCCAAAGACAAAGCATACAGAAAGAATACCGCGTTCGGTACAAAAGGAAGAAAAGAGTTATAAGTATATGATATATACTGAAGATTGGAGAAAGAAGAAGATAAAGATGTGGTTATGTTGCATTTAGTCAGAAGAAACAACAAGAAGCTTTTATGACTTAGCTAAATATATATAAATCTGACAGAAACTGGTTCTATCGTGAAAACTTACCGATTTCAATGACTCCGAATGAGCAAATAAAGGAAATTGTCAAAATTACTCTTCCTCAAACACACTTGACATCAAAGGTTGCACATACTCTACATTCAAAGAAGACTTAACATTACTGAAGGAAAAAATAACAGAATATTTCGCATAACTTCAAAGAGGAAGAATAAAAAAATCTAAGCTAATTTTATTTTTTTTATAAAATTTTATTCTCATATGAAAGAAATGAATTTAGAATATTCGGAACTCATGACAGAAGAAGAGAACGAACAACATGTAAAAGAATTATGCAAAATTTCTGAAGACATACAAAGCATTTAAACAATATCTAAATGCTTGCTAAAGATTATGCAAAATTTCTGAAGGTAATTAAAGCTTATGAAAAAGCGTATAAAAAGTTTATACATTGGGGAATTGTTGTAAAATATCGATATGAAGACTAACCAAAAATAATTTTGCTTAAATAGCTTCAGGGTCTATTTCTCTCAACCATTTCACTCCTTCGTCAATGTCAATAGAAGCTTCATTCAACCTTTGGTAAGAATTATCTGTATAAGATCTTTGTTCGTTATTGTCTTCAGAGACTGAGGATAATATTTCACAGATTGTTCACGCTTCTTATATTCTTTCTGTTCGGAAAGATTTAAAGCAATACTGAAGAAAGTCAAATGTAGAGTTTTTATGATCAGTCATAATGAGTATCTTTGACATTCAGAAGAAACTCTTCTGTTTCACAATAATACTGCTAACATCTTGTGAAGTATAACCGTTTGCGTCAATGGACGATAGCTAATGGTCTGACATACCTGAACGCACTAGATTCTTTTCAACAACTTCTTGTTAAAGATTAACATTAACATTGAAGGCATTATTGAACTCATTCTTGATGGCAGTAGCGAGAGCATTGTATGAAAGAACTTGCAATCTTGCATGTGGTTTCATTAAAAAAGATATAAAGGTTATTTTGAAAATAACTTAAAAAATCTTAATCTATATTTTTGCAAAAGTATTTTCTTTTATTTCTACATGAAGATGATCGGATTGTCTAAGTTGATAACACTCGAAATAAAAATATTCACAGAGCTAACATAGAGTAGCAAAACATTACAACAAAAAAAAAGCACTGCTGCTTCATTAAGAGACTATTAATGGTGCAATAAGTTTATGATAGAATTCATGAGTTCATAAGCGCAACGCGCGA